ATAAAAGTAAATCAGAAGAGAATTTATAGTAAATAAGCAGGCAAATTTGCCTGCGAATCTCTACAGTTTAAGGGATATTTATTAAATTATTTAAATGTAATATAAATGTTATATAATAATATACTAAATATTATTTAAATATTATATAAAAGCTATGTATAAATGCTATTTACTTATTACTTATATATCAATTAAATACTAAAAAAATTTTGTAATCAGAACTTACTTTTGAGATTGCAATTCAAGCTATCTAACTATTTTAAAATACTTGTTAAAAATATTTGTATCTATTACATAGAATTTATCTGTTTGTTATTGTTCAAAAAATATAATCCATGTTTGTAGAGATTTAAGAACATCGCTCAAAGGCACTAATATTTGTTCTTCTTCAGAGTCACTATTTTCATTTTCATCAAGTGTTTCATTTTGAATAAGTTTTATAATATCATTTTCATTTAAAATATCCTCAATCAGAATTTCTTCTAAATCATTAAAGAAATCATTTAATGTATCTACTAATAAAGCAGCATGTAGATCATTCATATCAAGTTCATTAATCATTTGATTAATATCTGTTTTCTCTTTATTATTTTCTCTTGTTGAGTTTGCACTGCATTATCTATGTCTTCATTAGTTAAAGAAGGTAAAATTCCAATTTTATTCTAACAATTCCATATTATTTTTTCAGTTATATAATTCCATGTATTTGCAATATAGTTTATTGCTTCTTTAATATTAATTTTTTCTTTATTAATATCTTTTTTATCTTTAAAGAGATATAACATATGATAACAATATTTTCTTTTAAAATAACTTTTAAAGTTTGCAATAATTTCAGCATTAAGCAGTTGAAGATGACTTGTAGTATTGGAGATAAGAAAGTTATTTCAATATGTATAAGTTGAAATTGATATTTATCATAACCTCAATTCATTACTGTGACCTCTTGATTCACTACCACAATATCTTAATTTATTACTACAACCTCTTGATCTACTACCATGACCTCTTGATCCACTACTGTAACTTTTTGATCTATCACTATGATCTTTTGATCTATTATTGTAACCTCTTGATCCATTACCATAATCTTGACCTTTTTAAAAAAAAAATAATTCAATAAATATTTATTAATTATTAATTTAAATAAATTTTGAA